TTAATAATAATGAGTATTTCAAGTGTAATTTACTTACCTATGAAATACGGATTATGGATATAATTATATACACTTTGAATTACCTGGTCTTATACTATGAAATCCATTCTAGGGCACTACCCAGACAAGCAGCTTGATTTTGATTGCCTCTCCCAATCGGAAACTGCGTCTTTTCCGATTCGAGACGCATAATTACGATTCACAACTGGCTGACTTTTGACATTTCTAATCGGAACAATGGCTGATTTAACTCACAAATTAGAAAGAAAGATACAGTAGGAATCGGGTTCATCTTCTCGCTCAGAAACCCATCTGATGTCGAGACTACCCGGTCGGATCAATTCAGATTCGAATGAAAATCAGGACGCAGAAACAATTTAGAGAAGTTTATTTCTCAAATTGGTCCTATCGAGAATAGAATTCGGGACCTCCACGTCCAGCTTGTACAATACAAATTTGCTACCGGGTCGTCGAATCTATGTGTACACGTATTCATCATCACTGCTCGGTATTGGCTTCCTTTCGCTTCTGCCAAACTTTTTCGGTCATGTGCGTTTCTGGTCCAGGTTTTGCCCGCGACTTTTATTATGATTCTACGTGCAATTGGACGACTCGGATTTCTTCGGCCTGTTCCGGGATGAACTACACGCCTGTCCGTAACAGTTGCAGTGCCACTCTGAGCTTTAATATGCAAAGATTTGAGAGACATTTGCCACTGCACTAGTCACACGCACTTTCGAGTAATCGACTTCAATAAAACTCGGCAAATAGGTGTAATCCCACGAACTTTCGAGGTCGGTTTTTAAAAAAAAAACATATTATATTTATGTTTAGTTACGATTGTTTTCAAAGGCTGTTAATGTTAAAAAAATAATTTAATATTAAAAATGGTTAATAGAATCCTGAGTGCCCATTGAGGCTACAACTTTTCATCTCACTATAGGGAAGAAAATGGAAAACCAACATCCCCACCCTTTAAAAAACACAGTAATGCTGACATGGTGGCAGTATTTCCCTAGACGAACTCTTTCACATGGAGCTCTACTGCTACTAAAATATAAGTACATTTACGCCGAATTCTACTTAAGGTCATAATACCGTTTTAGTAGCAATAGCGCTTCTTGTGAAAGAGTTCGTCCAGGGAAGTACTGCCACCTTACCTATTTCTGCCACCAAGCAGTAATGTCAGAGTTACTGTGTTCCGGTTTTGAATGGTAGGTGCTGGTGAAATTACAGGCACATGGGATTTGTCAACTTATATGTCACATTGATGAGAGCAGTGTAGTGGCGTTAGATCTTTGCGATTTAAAGCTCTGAATGGCACTGCAACTGTTATGGACAGGCGTGTAGCTTACCATCAGGCGTACGACTTGTTCGTCCCGTCACTTGATATTATAAATAAAACACGGTCCCCAACGTCTTGAACTTGCCGTGTTTCGAATTCTATCGAGGAGTGTGATACCAAGCATAGCGCGCTCCATGGCCCTTTTGCAACTCGTATTCGGTGCACAGTTCCCTTATTAAGCGTCAATGTTTCGGCACCATAATGTCATTGTCGCCAGGACACGATACATTGGTTGAAAAGACGGGTCTTCACGCAATGTCCAGCTGTTCAAAGGCTATCAGTGTGCACATAAATGATTGAATTTTACAGAAGGTTTCCAAGTGAGAATTATAGCCGCTGCCCTGTTCCAATGCAGATTGCGTACATTTGTCCCATTTGTATGCATTAAACCTAAACGGCCATTACACATTTAGACAAAGCTAGCTACTAAATTAGACGAATGTATATTATACAGTTGAATAGACGCGGTCAAGCGAGAGGCTTCTGTTACTAATTACATCATATACTGGTATAGAACATGCGAACAAAGATGTTGACGTTGCATGGACACGATATGTTTCAATCTTTTTTGCAAGGTCTCATTATGTACCACACACACACACCCGTAAGATCAATTGATAAAATTAAGTTTTATTACTAAATTTCATTTTATATAAATGTTGGGATGTATTTATGATATTCATTTACACGTATTGCATTTTATTTAATTTAATTATTTTCTTTCTTTTTGTTTATTTTCGTTTATAACATTTTAATATAATGCAGTCGTTTTCCTGTCCGTTATGTAATTACTTTCCTTCCAAAGGATACCTGGCAGAAGCGTTTATGCCACCTTACAAGTGCATTACATCTGTCTTTAAGGAATTTGTATCACTTATTTCTACTGAAAAAGCGAGACAAATTAGTTTTTGTTTAGGACTTTCGTACTTTTATCGTGTATTTCAAACACAATAAAGTATTATTTTGTTCATTGACATCGAAGAAGATAGATGCCTTCATGTGAAATTAAGTTGAGTTTGTGTTTGAACGCATTGTCAACCTCCAAAATACATCTAGAACTTTCGAATTTATTTTATAATATTATGCAAATGCTGTACCTCAGATAAATAACAATAAAAAATTAATGTCTTTCGTTCTATATTTCAACTGAGTATACAAAAACAGAGACAAATAATATTTTCTCAGCGAACTCATCCAGTTACATAGAGCGCACGAAACACACCTAGATAGTGCCTACAGATTTATTCAGGCGAATCTCCCGAATATATACTGTTGCCCTAACTAAACTGACAGGCGTTGCATACATAAATTTCTTGCAAGTAAAGTCTTTGATCGGATTTGGTGGTTTAAATTTGGACAGATGTTGTTCAATGCATAGAAATGAAGCATTAAGCAGTGATTGCCTAGTTTGGAACATAATGGCAGTTTCTTGTCAGATGGCTGCTAGTTCGAGTCCAGGTAAAAGCTTCTAAGTCTTTATAAAATCATGTGCAGTGAAGATCAGTAGGTAATTACCACTTACTTTAGTGGTGAAAGGAATAGTGACAAAACCTTTAAATCAATAATATTAATAGTCCTCGCACTGGGCTAAATCACGTGATCTGTTTCAGTAGCGAGAATTATATGGGATAATAAAGAACAGTTGTTAATGAATGGTTCCAAGATTTTCTTATCATTATTGAAATCCTGTGTCCAGCAGTGTGTTTTATAGTTTATAATTATATATTAGGAGTAAACAAGACAATTCTTTTTAATCTTATCATTTATTTAAATTTAAAGTTTAATTAATAAAACATAATAAAACGTATAAAATAATCCAATAAGCTAAATTAACTAAAACCTTTTTGGTTAGTTAATAGTTAGCTTAGGATATAGTTAAAACTAAATTTAGCGCCTAGGTAACTGGCAGTGTAAACCTAAGTTATTAACTTAAACTTCTAAGTTATACTAACAGGGTTTTAGTTAATGCGAATGCAATAAAGTTCTTAGATCTTAAATTGAAGGATCTTGATGCACTTGATGCACATTTAAGGTCTATCCGCACATATCCGTCAGGGGTTAAAAAAAATATCGTTGCGTATATTTTGTATGAACTCGTTCACACATGTCCTGCAAATTAGCACGCCCCGTCCACGTCCCGGGCACGGCCCTGATGTGTGTGGATCGTCCTTAAATGTCCATAAGAACTGTATGAGTTAATGCCTATGTCTACATTACAAATCAAACATTAATTATACTTCTTAGTCATTTTTTTATGGGAAAAATGCATAATTTAAGTTCCATAAAAGGGAGAAGAGTGTATCGGGGAAAAAAGGGCGTAAACACCAAATTATGAAATTTACAAGACGTGTGAAAATCAACTAATATACGAACATTATAAATTTCTTTTATTTCTGTAGCTATCTATTAGGGATGCCGCAGATGTCAGTTACGAGGATATCTGCAGATGTGGACGTGGATGCGAATTTTTCATAGTTAAAATCTGCAGATACGGATACAGGTGCGGATGAGTGAAAACACTTTTATTTTCAGAATAAATGTAGATTATTGTAGATTTGATGATCATTGAAATGTCATAAATTTGAGTAAAACATAATAATTGTACATAATTTTATTACGAAAGAGATGAAAGATAAAAGGCATACTTAAAGTTTTTAATGATGTCGTGAGCCGTCATTTATACGAATAGCACTGGGCTATCTTGAATCAAAAAGTTCGTAAGTTAATCTAAACTCGATAATTGTTGTTTAGAAAACAAACGCTACACGCCGCCGAATTCTCGACCTCTGATTCGCTAATAAACACTAAACACCCGGCACGCGCTATAAGTAGGGTCTGCTCCCGACGATCTTGTCGTGATCTGAAAACATCCGTATCCCCAAAAACTCTGCACTGATTGTTTCAGATGTGGAAGCAGATATTTAAAAATAAGCGGATGACCGGCAGATGCAAACGTCTAAAGCCATTTTTAGCGAACCAGTAAACTTTCAGTAAACGGACCGAAGGAGCATGAAAATTGAATCCAACCATTTATTTATTACATAACTCATTTTTTTTATAAATTGACTTTTACGCCTTTTCTTCTCGGACTTAATGATTTACATATTTAGTCGATTTATTTTTTTCATGATTATATTTTATTTAAAAATCCTCCTGTGTAAATATGATCACAATATTATTATGGCATTCGATGATAATGAAAATCGGCATATTTATACTCTATCATTTTCTAGATTACGATATGAATCGATGATGACTATCTCGTCTTAAAGCACTAAAGCAACTTAACTTAATAAAGGAACTTATACACAATAATGTGTTATTAGATTTATAATTCGTGTTCGAACGTGGATTAGCAAACTTACTACCTATATGAAATGTTACTTAAAACTCTAGACTAACTAACTGTACGTAGAAGATTAGTTTTTTCTTCATTGTTATAGGTAGTCGTTATGTTGTGTGGTTACGTGTATAACGCCTACTAGCCCAGGTGCGTACCATGTTCAATATTTACTTCACGAATGTAGATGTGAAACATATCGGCGTCGACTAAATTTGAAACTCCTTTTTCGAGCGAAATCCCATTTTTACTCTTCTAATATAGGGCAATTAAAGTTTAAAATATGATTTCTAGACCCTTTTTTAGTTATAATATAGGAATATAATCATAGATTGTCTTTTAGTTATTTCTAGTAATTCTGTGTTTTGTGCCAACTCTAAAGTTCACCTTAATGGAGATACGAGTTTTGCGAATTTTGCCGACGATACCAGCAAACTTTTTAGATGTTTTGTACAAAAAAAAATATTTCTTTTATCGTAACTTTAGACTAGAATTTAACATAAACAATGACCAATAACCTAAAATTAAAAGGTTAAAATGTCATTTTATAGAGCCACGAACTTAACTGTACTATGAGTAGTGCTAGAGTAGGAGTTAGTTCTTTTCAAGCTAGCGGCATAAGATACTTTAATAAATTATTATATAGATTAAAACACTATTTATTGACTCCATGCTATGATATAAAGCGCTCAACGAAAACGATAGCAGCGCCATTAGCGGATAGGATTAGTAAATAAAAGATGGCGGCCACCTTGAATCCGACATATTGGATAAAAATGACTATTCAGTCAACTTATATTACCGACCTGACGATTATATTATTGAACTATTATTATCTCCTCTTCTTTAACTGTTTCTTCCTTAACTTGACATGGCAGAATCATCCATTGTATCAATGGAGCTATAATAATTTGAAGAAAAAAAGAACTATTATTATAATGAAGTGTTTTCCATGTATTTATTTTCTATTATAGAATCCCACTGAAAATCAGCGTCGTAACACTAGAGCAGTGCGACAACACCAAGCTGAGTGGATATAGGATTCCGTAATAGTACAGCATTGTTTTGTTTTGTTGCTTCATTACTTGTTATTATGGTTTGTATTTCATAGTTGCGTGTGTATCAAATTTTTAAATATTCTATTTTTTCTTCCTGTCATGTATTATGACGTATCGTAATTGTTAAATGTGTGCCGTGTTGTTTATTTTGGAACAAATAGTTTGTATTTCTATAACATTCGGTGTCACAGAAAAACACAGTAATAAAAACGTACAAAACTAAGATAATTATAGCCTAACGAACTTAAAGTATACTTAATAGGGAAACAAAGATGTTAAATGTAATTTGAATATACAGTATGTCGCGAGAGTCGTTGTAACATCGGAACAACGGATTACAGCGGATGAGGATATATTTGTACTTAAATGTCAAAGTTCAAGTCAGGTGTCCGTTGGATAGCGCTAGTTTGAAGCACGGAGTCAATACCTCTTCTGTAGATTGTTTTAACAACGGGATAAGTCAGGTAGACTTTTCTCCTTGCAGTAGGCGTAAGAAGCTGGCCAAGCCTTGAAACCAACGCGGTCGTAGATCCGTTTTGCACAACGCACGTCGTCTGCCAGGTCTTCGTTTAGGAGATCTGGAAAATAAAATATACGCATCATCACAGTTATGTAGAAATGTTTCTCTTACGTAAACGGTACGCAATGTATTTATTGACACTTTGGTGCCAAATGTGACCACCGCACTATTACGGGATCAAAAACTAGCTTTAAAAGCAAAGATCAAATAATAAATAGGTAGGTGCAGTCAGTGTCAAATGACCTGATCGTAGTGTTATAAAAATACCTGATAAAAAATCAATCTAAGATGCATTTGAGGCTGCAATTCATCTGAAAACGTATCGTAAATACTCATAAGGTAAATTTAATTATTGCAAAAAAAATGCAATTATTTCTAGGTTTAATTTCTATTGCGAAGGGAAGCTAATTTTTGTCATGATATTGTACATATCATAATGAATTTTAGTTATTGTGTAACGTACAACCTAGATACGATGCCTCCGTGGCCAAACGGTGACCATGCCGGACTGCCATGCAGAGGTCCCAGGTTCGATTACCGGGCCGGAATAAATATTTGTATGGCCTAAATTTATTTCTCTTCTAATTTTGGATGTAATTTGTGGTTGTCTATGTGTGTCTCCATGGCACCCGCGAGACAGGGTTTCCCTGATGCAGGGCCATGTTGAGTGTGTGCGATACGGTAGCTACAGAAAATCCCGAAACTGCGCGAGAATTCTTCTTATCTCACGACTCGTTTCTTGGCTAGTTAGTTTGAACGTTACGTGACATAAACTCCACAAATTCATTATGCTCTGGTTACAAAACATTCCCTTCCTTTCTGTTCCGCGGCGGTGTAAATTGAACCTTAGGCAACTTGTAGGGTTTTAATTCAGTAACAATAAGCTATTGTTTTTAGTTGAAGATTACTTAAAAAAATATTTATGATTTTCTAAAAAAAAAAAAAAAAAAAAACACTAAGGATACTTTACCTTCACATTTCATGCTGCAGTGTCCACCTTTGCGTCCTTTCTTGCACCACTCCTTGTTGTTAATCTACGGACAAGAAAGATATAAGACGATGACACTAATGTCGATCCTTATATCAAGGCTTAATTTACATTGCCGCGGAAGAGAATGGAAGCAAAGGTTTGTAACGTTTAAGGTGCGTAACATTGTACATCATAATAAACTTTATTACAACTATGTGGCGTATAAATTACATACGAGCCTATACCTAGATAGCGCGTCTTTTAAAGAATTCTTGCACAGTTACGGGCAGTTACAGCACACGCATCTAGTAGGTACGTAACATAGTTGACACAAACTTCATTACGTTATTTACAATTTTGTTATAAACTTTGCTTCCAATCCGTTCCGCGGCAATGTAAATTGGGCCTTAACGAATATTAACAAATAAACGCATTGGCCATCCGTTAATCCCTTGTATTTCACGCGACATCAATGTGGACGAAAATTAATCAGAGACAATTGAATTATGAGCTCAATAGATTGGTAGTGAATTAAATATTACCGCATTAACACGCCACAGCGGTTGGCAATACAGGTAATGACTGGAATAAATAAACTCTATACAAACAATTATTTGATTGTGAAAATTAAAATTAAAATATCTTTATTCATTATGAAAATTACATTTGAAATGGTTAAATTAATCAAATACCACAAGTTCGTTCGTGAGGCAGATATATGTATATTGAGTATATTGAGTAAACTCTAGAGTTTGCGTTTTGTAAATGAAATTTGTTCACATTTATGACTTCTAGAATGTTATTGGTAAAAGAAACTGAACGATCTAAATGGATTACTTCCGCGGATTTTTGTCATGCAATACGCAGATTTGGTCATGCATGTACACAAAAGCTGTATTATAGTAAAGAAAAAAAAATTATTTCGGAAATCATCCATAGTAATATTGGTAGTAAACTAGTAACAATTTGCCTTAAAATTAGGTTAAGTAAGTAATTACTAAAGTATCAAAATCAAAAAGGAGAGCACAATATAATCATTCCGAAACTTGTTAGCTCCGGACATGGATGTAAACCCCTTTGAGTAGTTCCATTCAATATTTGTGGATGGGACCTTCACCCCTATCGGCAATCATCTTCAGGGCGTTGTCAGTGCTGCAGCGCAATCTGCATCTCAGAGAGTTCACCGTTTTACGCATAATCGCGTAGTAATCATTAATGCGGGCTTCGGCAAACATCCCCGACGCGCTGCCGAAGCTCGGCAACCCCAACAAAGCCCTGAAGATGTTGTTATTCTGTACGCGCAGAGCACTGTAGGCACATCTGTTGTATGCGATCCACAGACTGCTCGTGTAAAACGACTGACAATATGTCTTGAAAAGCAAAATCTTTACTTCTTTAGTACAGCGAGCAAACCTGCGGATCAGCATATTGCCCCGTACAACCAGCGCCCTACGCTCTATTTCGATATCACTATAATCTTTAAGACGCTCGTTTACAATTGCCCTAAGTATTTGAATTCAGTGACTGTAACGTAATCTATGTATGGCCGCATATTATATTATAATACAACCTTTTTTTTAAATTTATTTCAGGCCATATGACCCATATAATATTTACCTTAAGGACTAATGTACATACAATACAATAAGACAATAAAATAACCTAAACAAGTAATCTACACGTATTGCACTTGTCGTATTGCAGTTTTAAATCACAAAGATCTGAGATGCACTGCCACTGCGCCCATCAACTTGAGACATAAGTTGACAAGTCCCATGTCACAATCAGCAGCACTCTAAAGTGAAACGCGGTATTTTTCACACAGAAAGGTAGATAGGTAAGGTTAACGGAAGTACTGCCTTCCTTGGGCGAACTCTTTCACAAGGAACTGCTACTTCACAGTATATAGCCGTTATTAAATTTACCATTGTAGAGGGGATTCTTTTCATACTTGATGACGTCACCAAATTGAGTAAAAAAACTTCCAGTCCAATGTCACGTTTTTTTTCCAAAAGTATTCATACAAACATACAAGGTGCCAAATTAATTGTAACCGGCGAGAGCGATACTACACTTACATATACAAAAAGTATAAAAGTAACTATCAGATAGGTCCAGGCAGCCGTTCCCACAAGGACTCAACTCCTAGGTACATATCAATAGTACTGATGTTTGTCACACATAAATAAAATTCGGTTCAATTAGTCACTATCCGAGGAAAAATCTTAACATCGCTATGCAGGAATAAAAAGGGTCAATATCATCTAGCGGATTTTTAGAGAACTATCCGACGAACAAAGTTGATTAGTAAAGTCTATGATTAGGTTTGTTACACCATTACATTTACAATCCGATACATTATTTTTTACAAAATTATGAATAAAAATTTTACGTAATACTAATTTATAATTATCCAGTTCTTAGGCTTTCGCGATTTTTCATATTAAAAAATAAAAAAATTAAGTGCGCATTTCACTTTCATCTCACTTGATGGAAAGTAACTACGTAGCATGTACACATAAACAATGTCTATTCACTCTGGCCTTGAAATTGATATCTACAACTTGGGGTGGAACCGCAGCCTACGTCTACATTAGACATAGTTATGTCGTAGTTGATGACTTTACCATGAAAAGGGCCTGAAACTTTGGTGTGTTTGAAATACAAAAATACCCGATTTGGATTCGAAAAACTGTCATTTCTAACGAGTTTATGTAATTATATGTATCATCAATTTATGTAATTATTTTTTAAAAATAGAACTTTGATTCTATTTTTATTATCTCTCTATATTCTAAAAATGTAATTCCTACTTATTATACAGATTTTTATAATTCAATACTTATAATTTAAGTACCACCGTTTTCAAAGCGTACGATTGTAGTAAATACTGTTATGGTTTGATCATTTTAACCAAGAAAGTAGAGTAATCGGCGTAATTTTTAATAAGCAATACTATCAGAAAAGACTGATGAGCACTTGGAACGTATTATACTTTTATTTAATTTTGTAGGTTATTAGCTTATTTTTTCGATATCTGTGTTATTAATGGCCTTAACAAACTTGTTACGACTTGGTTTAATCTTGCAATAAAAATTTTTCTTTGTGTTATGATGTTTTCTTTATGTTCTAAAATGTAAAAGTGTAACTTGAGACGATCTCATATTTACAAATATGGTGACCTATTGTTTCTAAATAGGTCACCATATTAGTAAATATGAGATCGTAGTTTCGTTTCACTAATATTCAGAAATAGAGTGACCTAAATATTAACATATGGTTTCAGACGAACATAGACCCAAATTTGCACTATTTAAAAAAAATATTAAAATAGTAATTACCACTTTTAAATTTTATATATTTAGGAGAGTGTAGATGAATAAGTCAAGTATGATATAAAATATTTTGTTTTATAATTATTTTTAAATACAACTCAATATTCTCCCTTTTTTACAAAATTGATGGACATGTCAATCTTTAGTCAACGTTTTAGTTACTACTAGTTAGTAGTGTAGTAGTCTGTTGCGCCCTCAAATTACTGTATTTTACAGTTTTTCCTGTAACCCGAAAGTTGCCTGAAAGAGATTACTATTTAGCAATAAGGCCGCCTTTTGTACCTGCCACTTTTACTTTTTTGTATTATTATGTCCGTGTGCAATAAAGAATATTTGTATTGTATTGTATTGAGTTTATTTTTGTTTCTCGTATTAATATCATGTCCATTAACGTTATCGAGTATATAACCAGAAACAGAGACGAAATATGGGCCATATATTCCTGGTAACACATTAGCGACACAGCTCTTATAAATATCAACACTCCTTTGCACTGAAATACAGACAGGCCAACTACTGACCTGTGTGTACGTCTCCGTATATTCCAAAAAAATATTCAGTGTTTATTGTAATAAAGATAATATCTCTAACAATACCGCGCTGTTCTTTTCGGTGGTGTAGGAAAAACAGCAAAACATCTAATTACAAAACAAACGGAATCATATTTCATCGGTAATTAAATATTAAATATGTAAATTCGCAATTTTCGTCCATTATAGCAAAGGTCAAGTTAACTGGTCGATTTGAAGAGAAACAGTTGACGACACCCATTGACGACACCCGTCAATTGTTTCGAACTCGGGCTAGCCAATCGGAGCGCAGTTGTCACAGTAATGATATGGCAGAATAATTTTCAAACAAATTAAATTACATTTCGTCTCTACTTCTGGTTATATACTCGATGATTAACGTAATATATACGTGAGTGTAGAGTCATCCGACAATTATGTTGCAGCGCTTCTGCACTAATTTGATTTGCGTTACATGCGCACCAACTAATGCAGATGGTGGATGGCACAAACCTCGGGAGATTATACCCACCAGTAGTGAAGTCAGAGGATGTGTAATGATGGGTATAATGACAAATGATGAATTTTTTACTTTTTCTTTATGACATCAAGTGACCTGAACAAGTCCTGCGCCTGGTGGAAAGCGACACCCCTGTGCATAAAAGTTGCATTGCCACTCAGAGTTTTAAATCGCATCTGAGGGGCACTGCGCCCGTCACCCTCAGACATAAGTTGACAGGTCACAAACTCGAATTTATTTTGTCCGAAATAATGTTTGTTTGAATTTTCATTACCCCGAAAACCGAATTATTAACGAAACCGTTGTTCTTTCAGAATATGTTGGATGTTTATCGCAAAGACACGATTAGGTTCGGTTAGGTTAGGTTAAGTTAGATTTAAAAGAAAAAACATTTTCCTCTCAAAATTACTTTCGAGGTTATGAAATTTCGAGCAAACGTTACTTCTGGAAAATGTCATTTCGGACTTCTGATAGGTAACCGAGTCGCGCTGCTCGTGTTTGTAATGTTGCTATGATGTCGCACCGTCGGTCTGACCTAGTTTCTTTTGTTGCAAATTTTTGTAGCAGCAGAGCTCCTTGTGAATGAGTTCATCCAGGAAAGTACCTTGCCTATTTGTGCAACCAAGCAGTAATGTGGGTAGGCTTTGAAGAATAAGGGTGTTATAATAATAATAGGCAAGGTGGCAGTACTTTCCTGGCT